ACTTCTTCTCCCCTTCTCTGAGATTCCCTATTGAGAAATGAGGGACACAAACCGTGGACAGATATAAAGCAGTGGTGGCAGCTAGAGACATATTGTTTGCCCCAGTTCCTTCCACTTCACTGAAAGACCAGAGGACAGCCACCTTCTAGCAATGTTTAGTAAGACTGACAGTCCAAGAGTGGGTCACTGAGAGGCACTGATGTGCACTCAGACCCTTTATTCATGCAGACTTAGAGGAAGGTACAGACTTGCTCCTCCTATGATGGATATCAGGATGAAGCCCTCAGGAGGGAATGGTGGATAATAAGGGTGGGAAAAGGACTAAGAAAGTTCATATGAAGGTGGAGATGAAGGCAGTTTCCTAGGTGGCACAAGGTTTTATTTCTCTGAAGCTATTTAGGTAAGGAATAGAGAAATAGAGCAGTTATGAGCTGGCATGGCTGGCCACTCTAGCGGTGATAATGGTGATAATGACACCACCAATGATCACCTCTTACACTCAGCTTCCTCACACATGACCTCATCTTTCTGCTTTGGCTCTGTTTCCATACCTGATCTCCCTCCAGCTTTCTTTCTTTTTTTTCCCTCCAGTCATTTTGACCTCCACAAGGTCTGAAACTAGATTAAGTATTTAGAGATCCTTTCTCAGGTGACATCCTACCTCATAAATGCCAAACAGCATTGGTGCGACTTTCACGGAGTTCCAAAGGGAAAGGGACACAGCTTGGGTATGCACCTGGGTATTAATTGATTTTGATTTTAATATTAATGAGCCTATGATTTGGTCTAGTTGACCTTCAAATTCAAATTAGACACTGATTAAGTAATAAGGCAGGTGAATCTGGATGTGTTTGCACAGCCTTTCCCCCACCCGCTCCCCAGTAAGGTGTCCCGGCAGTGGGGATGACGATGATATATGAAAAACATGGCGACAGCTAGGAGAGTGCTCGTGACCTAAGGAGACAACTATACATTTAACAATTACATCGGCTCTTCAGAAGTTTCAGCCAGAGCACTCTCTATTCCTGCATTTGACTCCTGTGTTTTATGGTCTTTGATCTGATTGCTTACATGTTTGCTAACTCAAATAGAATTTATTTTTCAAAATTCAAAGTATAAAATCTGTTTTAAAAAGAGCATCCATGACAGTAAAGGGAGAATTTCTCAACAGATAAGTTCACGTCCAATTTTGCAAATAATCTCAGAGTGCCTATCAAATGTCATGGATATTTCCCTGGGGCCAGCTTTACCTTGAAGCTAATTTCAGCTCAGTCCTGGCTCTCAAATCTACCCCGTGTGGATGAGCCATTCATTAGCATATCCCTCCTCCTCATACCTCAGCCTCTCAGCTCAAGTCCCGCCCACTCGACAGCCATAAGTACTGTGAACAGGTGTCTTCCTTGGTGTAGGGACTACAGCCTACTGCAATCTTTAAGCAGACAGTTTTGCCTCCTCGCAGTAATTACACAGTCTATATTTACAATGGTGTAAGTGGGCAAGAAGATCCAGACTTGGCTCCCAGTGGGAAGTATATCTACAGCATTCAAAGAGAATCACTAGTGTAGACTATGCTCAGGTTCTAACACTTCTCTAATTTTTTCAACTTTGGTTAATAAAATAACAACCTGCCGTTCCAGGAATAAAGACAGCTACCTTATTTTGCTTGCTTGTTTTCAACTCCTACATTCTAGAAGATGCTAATTTCCAGTATAGACTAAAATATTAACAAATATAAAGCAAGTCAACTGACAAGCAAAGCTGTAAACACCATGGGTATCATCCTGGAGTGAGAGCCTGGCCATTCCAGACCAGGGGCCATTCTAAGCCCCGCAGAAGAGGCTCCTTTAGGAGTGAAGTCTCCCAAAAGTCAAGAGAACAGGGATCCTTTAGGACCTTCGATCAGCAGAAAATATTCTGCCACTTACAGTGGAGAGTGTCATAAGCATTTCTATAAGTGATCTTGTGACTGTGGAGTTCTGAAATAGCCCTGGTGTCACAGAGGACAGATATTTCTGCATGAAAGCTAATAACAGAGAAGGTTTGAAATGAATCCTGAACACTTATGACTTCCTTTTAACCTCAACTTGACCTCAATCTTGGATGATTTCAATGGAAAATTCTTTTTCTTAATTCTAAACTGTGCATCTGTCAATCTTGATGACAGCTTGGCAAGCATCAGAGACTGAGTCTGAATGGATAATCCATTAAAAAAAATACAGTGCCCTTATATGAATGCTATTTCAGGAGATAAAGGCAAAATCCTCATCCTATATCTTTTACTGTTAATTTAAATCAGATTACATACTATCATAGATCACAAAACTTGTTTTCCAAATAAAAAAGTTAATGAAAATTAACAATTTAATTCCTGCAAAATCTCCTAAATCTTCACATTTAGTCTTATACATTTGTGACACATGACAATCCTTTGATGGAGTTAGCACCATTAAAAGTCTTATTTTAAGAAAAAAATTCCTAAAAGTATTCTGAAAAATAATTGATCCTTGCATGAGCAATTAACGGTGTGAGATCCTAAAAGCATCAAGAATATCACAAGCAGCGTGTTTTATGAAGGTGTGATGTCTCCCGGCTAAACAACTCAACAGCAAGAAATCTCAGCTGGAAGTACTCAAATTAGATTGTTCCTCTTCTTACTTCTTACACTCTGTCATCCAAACTCATGATGCTTTCACATTTTTATGATAAGCTTAATGATTGAGACATTCCTTTTTTTTTCTGTTTTTTTTTCTTAAAATAAGTACCATCTTCTATCTTTTCTCTTATACAATCAGTCTATTTCTCTGTAAAATGACTAAGTTTCTCCAGAAACCTCTCAGGAACTCTGATATGAATTACATTTTTAGATATGTCAATTATTTTTGAAATAAGAGCTATCCGAACATATGCCTATGTAGGATGAAGGACAATGTCCTTTGAAAATTGACAATAAACAAAAAAGGGGACCATTCAAGATGAGAGTACTATCCTGGACACTGTTGGTTCAGTCATATCTCCTTTGGGAAGAAACAGTTATTTTCCCAGGAACCTGCACATGCCATCCATTTATGGCTTCTACAATTACCCCAATCAAAAGGAACAGTTTTAGTCAAGACCATACACATCCTTCCCCAGGATAGACAGCAACCAGAATCTATGGCAGGATCCTCTTGCCCATTATGGTTCATAATGTCATCTGGAATAAATCCCTTCTGACAGTTCACTAGAGCTTCCCCTCAGCCATTTCTGTTTTCTTCCCTTTCTATTAAAGGAGTTGATTTTTGGAGCTCTCTCTCTCTCTCTCTCTGATAAACAAGTCATTTCCTAATAATCTACCTTGGTCTGTCTTCTGGAAAGTCTGATCTATACGAGGGCCAGAGAAACAGCAAGAAAACTGACCTGTGTTGTGATATTTTGTGAGGTAGATATTATCTACTGAGCATGTATATATGTGCATGTGTGTGTGCACGAGTCTGTGTGATATGTATGTGCACAGGTGTATGGAGGAGACAAGAGGATGCCATCGAGCATTCTACTCTATCATTCTCTGGATTATTTTCATGAGACAGGGTCTCTCAATTAATCTGGAGCTCATATGGTAGGAAGCAAGTCTAGTGATCTGTTCTCAATCTCAGCCCTGTGATTACAGGTATGTCTCCATAAATATAGATTATTAGGACTTAGGGGGCTTTTGTTTTGTTTTTCACTGTTTTCTAGTTTTTGAGACAGAGTTTCATTTATCCCAGACTGGCCTCAATTTGAAGTATAGCTGATGCTGGTCTTGAACTTTTAATCTTCTTGCTTCTGACTCCTGAGTGCTATGGTTACAGGCATATGCCACAACCAATGACTTAAGTGCTTGGAATCTGAACTCAGTTCCTCATGCTTCTACAGAAAGCGCTTTGACCCACTGTTACATGCTCCCAGATGGAGATCGACATTATTCTTTTCCTTATTACAGAAGGAAAAACAGAAGTACAAAGAAGTTCACCATGTATTTCCATGCTAATCATTTGTTTTCTTCTTGACTTATCTGTCACAGGTTAGCCAAGTAACTGGTAGTAAAACTAGGATTAAGTCCCAAGCATACAACCCAATTATTTACACACTTATCAGCTGCCCTCAACTACAAGTCTTAAAACAAAGACTCACCAGGCAATGGGATATAGAATTATATATGCCATTGAGTATTCCAAGACTATTTTGATTTCCTACACAGACTTAAGGAATAGCAAGTCTAGCTGGCAGTGTGTGCCTGTTTTTACATCAGATCAGATTGAAGAAATGGATTCAAAGTATATACTTAAGTTCCAAGTAGGTGTTATGGTTTACAAGACACCCATTTGTTCAAATACAACAGCCTAGTCTGGCAGTCACATGAGGTTTTAGTAGCTCCTAATGGCATATTTCAAATATTCTTTCTGATGGAAAGAGTTACCCACCAATCAGGAGGGAGAAGAGAAAATGACCTATTTTATTTTTTTTGAAAGCATTTGCATCTCTGTTTTGTGGCACTTATCTCTACACTAGTCAAATTTTCTCCTATCATTAGTTTCTTTTTGATTTACTTGGGTCAGGAGTACTTTCTCTTTGTGATAATCCATAGAAATGTGGCCTTGCCACTGGTTGATTTTTATGCCTTTCAAATATTTTTCCCTTGAGCCATGGGGCTCTGGTAGGTGGTCCTCAATGCCATGCTTTCAAACTTATGCCTATGAATAGTTACAAACAGCTGAATCCACAAATTCTTGAGTTTCAGATAAACATTTTTTTCTCTAGCCACACTTTCTCTCTGCCCACTCTTATTTTTACATTGAATATTATTTTTAGAGGAACAAATGTAAATGTATATATAAACTCTGAAGAGGTTCGATATGGCATGGAGCTGAGTGGGTGGGATCCTTGTGTTCAAAATAGAGGCTTTCGCTGCATCAGTTTCTTACATAAACAAACCCCACACGGTTAACTTTTAAGGACCGTGAAGTTTAGATTTGGACTCATACCTTCATCTTTATGGACTTCAGCTTTGTCTTCAGAAGCAGGGCTGGGCACAGGGGTGGTGTTGACACCATCTATAAAACAGAAAGAAGTGCGTCAGGCTTAGTACCTTCAGGCTGTGGCTTTTCCTTCCCTACAGCTCCCTCACCACTGGCCTATGAAGGTGTCAGTATCCTTCACACGCCAAATGGTCTTATAGGGGCATCGGGATCTAATGCATTCTTTTATAACTAATGAAGCATAAATCTTCACATAAGACAAAGGCCAATGAACTACAAAATGTATTCTGGGGAAGACTTATTTGTTGGTTGTAGTATGCCAACAACTCCAGTAGCATTTTGCTTCCTCCACAAGTCTCAAAGAATGGAATATTGTTTCTGATTTGTGATGTGTGGTAACATAGACCCATGCAAGTTTCTACAAAGTGCCTCTATGTGTATGATGTTTATAGTTAGCACTTCTATGGACTGCCAAGACACTCAGCTGTCCAGCTGGGCAGTTCTTCCGTGGCTGTCAGCACTGTAGTCCAGTAAAAAGGGACCACTCAAAGTAAGGCACCCAGAGATATGCAGGAATATCATGTCACCTGGTTATAGAATGGAGACCAAGGACAGGGAGGACTCTGTCCACTTCACACTACCAATTAAGGCCATTTAGAGCTAATCTCTCTTACTGGTCTCATCAGAACCCTGGGGATTTGGTTAATGTTTGGCCTCCAAAGTGCTAGATAGTTAGCTACTAGCATTAAAACTGTAAAATTAGGATGCAGGAACTTATTAAAATCATGTGACAACTGGTAAAACAACGTACATATTTTTCTTATAGTCATTCAGTCACAGACTTAAAGATAAAATACACAACTCAAGGACATTTTCTTACTTTCTAGCATATCATTTGTCCATTACATAGTGTTGTTACTTTCAGGTTGTATCTCTATTGGAACACAGAATAACATCCGTGGAATGTAGATAAGGGGGTGAGGTGGATCACTTTCTTTCATTAGACATCAATTGCCTTTGACTTAAACACAAGGCACCAACTGTTAACCTTCCCTTAAGTCACAGCACATTTCGATTTTCATCTCCCTACAGAGCAAAACTGCCTGAAGAAAGTTATTGTTGATACCTTCTGTGCCTTCACTTCTGAAGCCCTGCATAAACCATGTGCGCTTTTCAGGTAGTCTCCCTAACTCTCTCCTCTAAGGCGCTTGCCTCCTTCCTTTGCCCATCAAATTCAAGGCAGCCTCAACAGGTCTTGAACTTGCCATCTTCCTGCCTCAGCCTCTCTCTCGAGTAGCATCATTTTCAACTTCTGTTCTTCCTGTCCATCTGACTTGACATCTCAATAGCATTTCCCAGCCCCATCCCTGTTCTTTAACAACATATCTTTGTAGCAGCTGCCTCTGCCTTTCTAGACAGGGATGTAGATGTCATGATGTCCCTGCTCCTTTGCCTTTGACAGTTACATATTCTTCTCACCGACTCTCCTTTTAGTCGCAGGCTTTAAATATCCCTTATATCTCAATGTCCCCTAAACCTGGTCTGTAGTGTTCACATCTCCCAATATGAACATCTTTATCTAATGTTACATCCCTTATGGCTTTCTGCACATATTTTCAAATATATTGGTGCAAAAACTAAACAATTAACTTTTCCAACAGAACGTCTTCCACGGAGCACTTAAGTGGTACTGTTGCCCCCCTCCTCCCCGAGAGACTGGAGCTAGACTCCTGGGATGTATATGAGATTCCTCGTTCCCTTTTGTGCCCCACTCAGCCTTTTAGCTTATGTACCATGTTGCTTCTGATTTCTAGAATGTGCCATATTTCATTCTTTTGGTCTCTTTTTCCGTAATCCTCTGTCATGGTGACTGTAGACATCTTCTAACTCTACTTTTTTGACCCATTTTTATTCCCAGGCAAAATGAGTTCATTAACACATAGATCATTTATTTCAATGGTTAAAATGTTTCAATAAACATGCTGTAGCCACCATCTGGGCCTATGATTTCTTACCAGATCTCACACTCTATTGAGCCCACTGTGCTCCAGACATACCCCTTCCCCCAAACCCCACCCTGAAGTCAATTTATTCTCTGTTCCCTCTGTCTGGAATGGGTTTTCACATACCAGTATTCAGAGCCCACCTCAAGCATCACTTCCCCAGTGGTCCTCCTCAGAGTTGCCCTCTGAGGGTTGCCTCAATTTCACCTCTTTGCTCTGCAAGCTACTTGAACTCTCTGATAATTGGATCCTTTTGATTTGTTTATTGTTGGTATTCTCCCATCAGATTATAAGCTTCAAGGAACTATGGATGTTGTTTTTTAGAATTAAATGCAGTGTTTGCAGTGCACACTCACTGCTGGGGAGGCAGTCAACCTTCGATATATACATTTATTATTGATTTCTTGATAAATACTATATGCAATTGTATTTGATTTGATGGTGACAGCTGTCAGAACCTGTAAATAAAGTATGCTATTCTGAGACTGCATTTTTCCATTATGTGGAAGAGACCTGCAGAGTTATGCAATCAACATTGGTACTGGGAACTATGTTGCATGAAAGCAAGATATTTTATTTTGGAAACTATCAGCAGGTCAAGGGGCTTTAACAACCAAAACTGTGTCTTTGATTGTTCTGTTGCCTAATCAGAGGAGCCTGTGAAAGTGAAAAATGAATGGATCAGCACTGTCCACAATTCTAATGGACCCTGCTGATAGTCTCCATCAGTCTGCATGCTGTTTTGGATGAGCAAGAGGAGCCACTGAGAAAGACAGTTGAGATGCTGCAGTTAATGCCTAGGCGAGAGCCACATTGAGTGGTAATGCTCTCATATTCAATAGATAAAGAAGGCTTATATTCTTCCACTCTGACCTCTCAGAAAGTGGTCACAAAACCAAAAAGAAACTTCCAGAACCTAACTGATTTAGGAGAAAAGGATCAATGAATAAGACATGGCATATGTGCATGTGTGTGCATGCATGTGTGTATGTGTGTGCACATGTGCACATGTGTAGGTGCATGTGTGTGTGTGCATGCATGCATGCTTGTACACATGTGCATATGTATTTGTATGTGTATGTGTGTGCATGTGTGCATGAATGTGCACATGTATCTGCATTATGTATTCGTGTGTGTGTGTGTGTGTTTGTGTGTATGTGTACAGTAATAGAAGAAAACCAATGTTAATAAGACAGCTTGGAACAGAACACTGAATGTATAAACTCATAAAACTTCAACAGTCAGACCAGGTCCTCAGCAGTCAGCAGTTGGCTTACTAATACATGTCATCCCTAAACAGCCCCACTTTGAACACAGTGCAATGGTATGTAGGTAGTGGGTAGGGACTGTCAGGCAAGAACAATTTATAGTACCAAAAATTCATTCTGTTCTAAGGAAAGGACCAGCTGAGCCAACAACAGGTACACAAGGTCCTTCCCGGCTTGCTTCAATGCATCCTCTGATTCGCCTCCTTCAACTCCATCTTCTCAGTTAATAATAAAGGCTCTCTTTCCTCATAGCAGTCCCAAGAGTAGTGTAAAAGTTTCCAGTAGAAAACATATCACATTGCCTGGTTTAATCAGCATATGGACTAGGATGTGGTGGGCACAAAAGTCAGAGCTCACGCTTTAAAGTCATGCTCCCCACACGAGGCTCAATAGAATGAGGAAAATAACTTGGAGATTGAAGGGAACAGGGATATTTTTATTTTGGCAGTGAGGCTGGAAACCATATGACTGTGGCTCTTATTATCTTAAAGGACAGCATTCCCAAGGACAGAAATGGGGCAAGGGGTGGGTGATAACTCAGAAATTATTTTAATCCCATTTGAACTGTAATGTCTATTATATTAAAATGCTAAATTTATAATCTACAGTGAAGAATCGATAATGCAATATAATCAATAGGCACAGTGACTTCTCTTAATAGAGGTGATGTCAGAAAAGTTTTTTATCTTATATCTGTTGGCAGTGAGATGCTGCTCTGGTTATCTGGCACCATCTACCACATGCAAAGATAGCCTGACATGTAGCTTTTCAAAATTAAATGCAAGAGAGTTAAAACACCTCATTTAGTATGTGGAGAAAGCCTTTTCTTCATTTTTTTTCATGTAGTTCTAATTTCATTTTTTTTTTCTTCCTCTAACTCAGTCTGCTCATTTTGACCTGATCTACGTTATCCAAGCTTTGACACTGTGCTTCCAATCTTGGTCCACAGTTCTTAGTGCATTACTAGGCAATCTGTTATTACAGGAAGGAAAGGGAATCGGTAATAAGAGTGTACTGTTTTTTTTATGGGAGCGCAGTCAACTTAAGAGTGAATGGAACTGGAGAGAGGAAGGAACACGGGGTTAATCAGCTTTTGAAAAGGCATAAGCATTTTCAGGCAATAACAGTGAGTAAAGTTGTTGTTCACCTCTGTGGATGAGGCCTAGGAGACTCCTCAAAAGAAACCTGAGCCCACCTGCTTCTTGGCTCTGCCCCTCCATTTCTTCCGCAGTTTGCTTTTCCTCTGGACCACTTTCATCTTTCAAGAAAACCACAGGGGGAGAAAAAAAATCAAGTCAATTTATGAAATATCTCTTTATGGCTAATATGCGACACTGAAATTAATTGCAAGCAATGTACCATGACTCCCCAAAAGCACAGTGGAGAGATGAATCAGAGGCATGAAATAGAAGAGGCCCCCCACATAAATTGGTGCATTTGTACTCGTCTCTTCTCCCAGGATTTGCTAGAGGTAAAAACAACATTGAAGTAAATAATATCCACTCCGGTGCTGGAAGCATTTCTCCCTTTGCCGGCCATTTCCAAAGATGCCAAACACGTTTTACTTCCAATCTTCTTTTCAGCTTTGAATCAAGTAACATTCTCAGTGTAAGGAGCTTGGCTGATTTTCTCTGCCTTTTATGTTTTTGTTAGATATGTGCTTTGAAAATTTTTATTTTCATTTATCTTGTATATGGTGATCTAACACATCAATGCGTGAATTTTTTTGTCCTGAATTCATTATGCTAATCGATTGTATAACTCTGAAAAAAATAACTAAATAGCTGACTGCAATGGAGCCTGGGTCCTTGCAACTAACTAATTTTTGTCTTAAAATTTGTGAATTCATGGGCAGAGAAAAATATATTCCCAAGGGCAAGTAAAGGCCTGCTTTTGTAATTAATTCTGGGGAGATCTCCAAAACACCTTTGTCAAAAGGGAAATATAGATTATTACCTTATCTAAAGACACAGGAATGGAATATAAAATGTAGTCATATACAGAAAACTGAAAACAAGAAGTTAGCTATATGAAGTACAATGAGCATAAGGCCTTCTGTGCAGGAGTAGCAGCTGACTCCTTCTGTGTGAACACAATATGTCATCACTTATTCGACCAAAGGCACAAGGTAGAAATGACGTCTTGAGCCTTCTGAGCTGCCTCAGAATGACAGTTCCTGTTTTCTCCTTCAGGAAAGGGAGCCATAACTGCAATGCAGTTCAGACTAGACTCCCCTGGACAGAGAGGGCCATGAAATCAACCTCTGAAGAAACAAGACCTGTAAGGGAGGCAGCATGGCATCTTCTAGTCTATCTCAGCTACCTGTTAAATGCAGAATGGCCACCTTAGCCAATATCACAGAGCAGACTGCCGAGCCCTGTCCATCCCTGGCCCATAAGTAGGCCTAAGTCACCAACACTTATGATCTTACTGTGTTTTCAGTACCACCACTTGGTATTGTTCGTTCTTTTCTGGTTTAGTTTGATTTGAACTTTGAGACAGGGTTTTACTCTGTGCCCAGTCTGGCCTTGACCTTGCAGTTCTCATGCTTGTATCTCCTTAATGCTGGGAAGGTAGACATGTGCTGCTTTACTACCAGTTCCTAATGCAAAAGCAGAAGTATGAGAACCCCCCCCCCCAGGGGAGCCTTGACTAGCGGAGTTAACACACCAACCCTAGAACTTGCAGAAGACCATTTACTGAGATACTCTGAAAAACAATCCACTGGATAGCTTCCACTGTGGACAAGACTGCAGTCAATGAATACCTGAGTATGTGCATAATCTATTCAGTTTGCTCAGCTCAAGGGGGACACAGTACGATTTTGAATACAAGAAGCTAGTGACTTCTCAGTGTGCTTTCAAATTCACTGCAGTAAGTGACATATTTAACAGCACCACACAGCACCTGCTGTTGAGAATCTTCATAAGGATGACAGCACTGGTTTTTACTCTTGGGAGGAAATAGCCATCGTGGTTGTTCTTGTTCCCTTAATAAGGCCAAGCTGGTTCAAGAGCACGTGCCAAAAATTTAGCCAATTATTTCTTCCCTTCTTTCCTACCAAATGGACTGAGCCAAGCAGGAGATCTGCCAGCTTTCCCAGAACAGGCAGACTTCACAACATAGATTTCATAAAAGGTATGAAGTCTGTAGGTGACAGGATGCCTTTAAAATTAGTCTGGTTCCCATGTCCCTTCTAGTGTGACTACAACAGGACAGAGAGGGTCCTTAACTGGAGAATACAGGCAGAAAAATAAAGAAGTTTTAGGATTGTGAAGAACTGTTTCTGGCAGTTAAAAAGAAATTCACATTCAGATAGCCCAGATGTAGTGCTATCACACAGGGTTTACCCAGCAGGTCACCCAGGATTTCCTCTGCCTTCCCATGCAGGAAGTAGCACTTCCTTTTTTCTTTTCTTTTCTTTTTTTTTTGACATAGCACTTCCTAACAGACATCCCGGGGCACGTTTTTTCTATCCTATTTTGAGTCTCAGCTGTAATTTTCTACCTGAATATTTCTGCTCTTGGGAAGCTAGCTTATGAATCGCTTGGCATGTTTATCACGGAAGTAAGGTATTCTAGAAGTATGTTGGATTTGCCATTTGACACATGCACCCCCTCAGCTGACAAGGTACGTTTTCAATTTCAGAGAAAATTCACGCTCATACCCAGCAGGGGGCGCCAACGCAGAAGGCTTGCTCTCTAAACCCAATGTGAGCTCTTGGGCAATTAGATTAGCATGCATCTCACTGTCTTTTAGAAGGACATTCTGGCTGTGTTCTATCTTTCCATCCATTTTAAATGCGTCCAATGAGTGAGTTCTTACTGAAAAAGTGGGGCTCTGCCTGTGTATGCGTGGGGTGGAGGTGGGGGGAGAGGAAGACACCATGCCGACTCAGATTACTCGATTACCAATGACTGTTCCGTAAGGAGCACCTTGATCTGTCTATCTTCACAGGAAACATAAACGATAAAAAGTTAAGTGGGGTAGGGCATATAAACTTGTGGTTTCTGGAAGGGATTTTTAAAAGGGTTACAATAAACATGAAGCAAAACCTACAGGGAAGCACCTGGCTATTTTGTTAGCTTTAAAAAAAAATGTCACACAGAAGCTAGCTTCCAGGTAGCTAAATTTTCTCAGTTACTGCACATTTAGGATCATATATTCACTTGAGATAATGCACTTCCACAGCTTTTATGTAGTGTGTGATGTCACATTTTACTCTCCCACCTTAAAAAGCAGAGTAACCAGTAAGAGTTTTGCTGCTGTCTCCTTCCTGCATCTCTAGTATTATTTCTGGCCATCTCTCTTTTAAACCATGTTTTTAAGCATGTGCTATTTGCAGGAACACATTTCATGAAGTATACATGAATAATATGAAGGGGCCCGCCTGCAGAATGAATTCATACTAGAAGAAGGGGTCTGTCGCTGCTGAGCTGTGACAGGAATTCTGTGCGTGGTTAATTCTCTATTGAGGGAGGCTTGCCAGGCAGAATCCCAACGTTATGGCCAGAAGGTGTTACCTTGATATTTTTAGTTCTTCCCACAAGCTGTGTATAGAAATGGGAATAGAAAGGGAAATCAATCAGGTTAAGTCCTTGGCTACTACTGGACAAGCAGTCTAACATGTACTGCTCTCTGGCACGCTGTTACCTTTTCTTACAAAGGTCTCCGGACTTTTAGACACAAGCAAATCAGTTGAGATACAGCAGTTCACAGGCTAAATTTTTGGTCCTAAGTTTTCAGTCCCCTGTAACAGGATAACTATATGTCAGCGTCCTCCCTCTGTGAGTAGGAAGCTCATTCCACTGGTGTAGGACTTAGCCGTTTGACTTGGACAATGAGATACAAGTGGGTAAGATAGCAGCAGTTCCGTGTGCTGCAGAGCTGGATTCCTGTCCTGTCTTAAACTCCCACCGTCTGCCATGGGATGCTTTTGCAGCTGCTGGTTGAAGGAGGACAAGAAGTAGGTAGAATAGCCTTCGACCCAGAGTAGAGTGAGGCTGAGATTAAGGAATTCATATCTCAAAATGGAACCATCTAGCTGATTCTAGCTGATCCAGTTGATTTAGCTGATCTAGTCAATCGGGTGAACAACCTACAACCTGCAGACCCCTCAGGGTAAAAAATAACTTCTTGTAAGTAACTAGAAGTCAGGAGAGCTTATGACATTATTATTGATGAAAGTAACTGATAATAGTTGAGTAATATATGGTATGATTTTCTGTTACTTTTTACTAAATGTTGACACTCTTTTGTGTATTTTATAGTTATTTGTATATATTATTTGTATGCACAGGTGTGTGTGTGTGTGTGTGTGTGTGTGTAGAGGCCAGAGGTTAAACAACTCTGGGTGCATTTTGAAATCACTTCTATACTTTTTTGTTTTTTGGTGGGAGTGTGGTGTGTGTGTGTGTGTGTGTGTGTGTGTGTGAGAGAGAGAGAGAGAGAGAGAGAGAGAGAGAGAGAGTGTGTGTGTGTGTGAGAGAGAGTGTGTGTGTGAGTGTGTGTGTGGTAAATCTGTACATATATGTGCACATAAGTACCCACAAAGATGGTCAGAGCCAGAAGAAGATGCCAGGTGTTCTTCTGTGTCACTCTCTGTCTTGGTCCCCTGATGTAATGTCTGTCAACTGAACCTGCAGCTACACTGGTAGTCAGCAAACTCCAGTGACTCTCCTGTCTCTGACCCTGCACAGCTGGTGTGGCCATTTTCAACTGTTTGCACAGGTGTTGAAGATTTGAACTTCCTCATGTGTGGGCAGCGAGAGCACTTACCACTGTGCCATCTTATTAGTTCCCACCCACCTTATTGATTGACTGATTGAGACAAGGTCTCTCCTTCATCTGGATTGGCTGGCCACCAAGCCAATCCTCCTTAGGTTGAGTTACAGTCACACAGTACTGCCACTAGCAGTTTTGCAAAGGAACCAAATTTGATTCCTAAGCGTGCACAGCAAGCCTTTAACCAACGGAGTCCCAAGTTAGCTCTGTCTTATGTGTAAAGAGATCAGTCTTGCCTGAATATTGTTTTCTTCTCATCTATATTTTCATTTCACACATTTCAAAATGGTCTAGAAACACACATTTGGAAATGAAATTAGATTGCGTAAGAGAGAAATGGTCCTAAAGATTGTCACTGACATTGGTATGATAATGTTTATGCTTTGTTTAATTATATAGCTAAGTGGGCAACAGCTAGCATGTGCTGATGGATGGCTACTTTCTATTCAATTTGAAAATACTTTATACAGACTA